GCTAGAATACGTGGTAGAAGTATTCTAACAACTTACAACTGTGAGTCAACGTAAAAGCAATTTCCGGTTCCATTGCTATTCATAAGTTTCTCAAAATAATTTATTTCACAAAGAGAGAAAGTGAGAGGGGGGAAAAAAGGGAGAACACGGAAATGGGTTCACCGAAGACACTGTGCAGCCAGCAATCATTCACTGGAAAGGCTGTCGATGGTTCCTCGTTTTCGAGGATTTTTTGCAACACAACTCGAAAACGTGCTGATTTCTGCACGAACATTTTACATCTCAAAAAATGCAAACTGGAAATGCAGTTTTGAAAAACACACGATACCGCCATCTTTCACAAAGGACAAGTAAATAATAAACCTGAAAAAACCAATAAAACGAGGCGACTAACCGCACGTGACCAGTGGTCAGGGAGCAACAACTGACCATTTGTCAACAACGGGCATGCGATAAGAAAGGTCAGGGGGAAACACACAACTGATTGACCTTAATTGATCTCTGACCTTGTATGTCCGGGCAAGGGTCATTTCAGTGAAATCGCTACGGCGTCACTTCTTTGTTTTAATCCATAGCTATATTTTTAGAGCGTTCAGCTACATTAGCCGCAATTTTGAATGAATGAAAAGGACGAAAAGGAAGCAAGAATGCTTACCATTAATCAGAATTAAAAACTTAAAATTTCTTCATACCTAACATCCTTTGAGAAGCGAAGGCACTCAGGAATAACCCATGCCGTAACATATACCAACAGCAACCACCTGCTGATAGGACAATAGGTGGCATTTTTGCTGAGGATTGCTGAATGATTTCGACTTTCCGTCTGGGATGGTTTATCAATAGTGCAAAAGAATAATAGGAAATTATCTGCTTCAGGCGCGTCAAAAACCCTGAAGGCAAAATTCCCTCCTTTCCCCTTCTCCCCCTTCCACGCTCTTCAGAACCTCATGGAAAAGCTCCGTCCTGCAAAGGAAACTTATCTCTCTGCAAAATCCTCCCCCTGTTTCTATCAAAATGATATTAAATTATCTATCATACGCCCCACCACGGCTCAGCTCTAGACATAGTGTCCGCTGAAGCGAGTTATCTCGTTCCACCCGAACCATCAGATCTTTTTAGATCTTTTTATCAAGGGTCTTTTTTATTTCCCATGCGAATCATCTGATAAAACGAGAAAATGGAAAACAGAACGATTTTTGCGGGACTGATTCATCGCACCAAATTCTCTTTTGTGAACAGTGACAGAGGCCGCCGAAAGGATCGACTGGATATTTTATTGTGACGCTTTGGTCAGCTGCGATTGAAGAAGGGATTCTACAACTATGATGCTGCCCACATCTCCAAGCAGTCAGGCTACCGGATATTTTTTATTGTTTCAATCACTGTCGCGGAAAAAAAACTGAAAACTTGCAGGATCTAAAGAAAGATATATTGAGAAATTGGGAGCTGAAGAATGGAGACTCTGAGGTATCATGGGCCTGAAATAAATCACCAGGGTGACGGACTGATTTTTGCTGGAAAATCGCACCAAATTAAACAAAGTCTTCTCAAATATGAATATCATCTTCCAAGAACCTAACAATCAAGAAAAGCAAATAAAATTAGTTAAAATAGAAGCAAAGTTTGATCACGGAAAAATGAAGTAGACTTGAATGATAAGAATCGAAGCGAACTGAACATACAATTTGGTTAGAAGAGTATCAGGATCGGTCGACTGAGATTTGCTAAGCTGCGCTAAAATGCACAACAAACGGTCAGTATTGACCGCTCATTAGAAACATTTATCTTGATCACTACAGAGACGCCTCGACCCTCCCAACATACACATGAGATATCAAAATTTTACATACAAAGGGCTTGCGAACAGAACTGGCAGCGAAAGATCCGAAAAACGATAATTTTTGAAGCCAACATCAGTGCAGTCCAATATTTGACATCACCCGATTAAACAAAAAAAAAAACTGTTTTCACAGTACACAAATTATTTTATACAATTTTTAAATTGTTGGGACTAAATTTTGTATAAAATGTCTAAAAAAAATAACAGACTCTCATTCTACAACAAACCGGAGCTAAATCTCTCGAGCTGCGAAATAGTCTAGGACAAAATAAAGCATGGAAGCTAACAGCATGTGTGCCGAACTTTACATGACCGAAGCCATGTACTGGAATTTTGGCTGCCTAATTATTTTGCGCACATAATTATTTACACATGCAAACATGCACACATACATACATACACACATACACACATATGCATACATATACACACATACGCACATACATACATACATACATACATACACTCACACATACATACATATGTACAATTATACGAGTATCCATAAATATTCGACCATGTCGAGTTATGCAAAAATACATAAATTAAGAAAAGTATAAAAGGGTTTATTGCCGCTAGCGAATTTCAGTTTTTCTCCGCTTGGACAAGTTTAGCGGTTGCCAATCGCCCGAGCTTCTTCATTCAGCGGTGGTCGTCAGTATTGCCGTTCAGCGTTTTTACGTCGAAGAGCCGCAATGATCACACGAGCGTCATCTGTGTCACTACGTGGGAAAGGAAGCGGTTTAGTCTGTCCTCCGATTTGGCTTTCCGGGGTGCTATTCCTACTGCTAATGGTACCGCAGGATGTGATGTCAAGGTATGCATCGTTTAACATTGGCAGCATCTTGAATCACGCACCGGGTGCGGAACATCGTAACTTTACGAACGCGGGATATCCTAACTTTGCGAGTGCGAAACAACATCCTAAAATGACGATTACAAAAGATAATAATGGCTCGGCGATTATGGCAGATTATGACCCAGTAAATGATATAGAATATGACGCGGTAGATGAGGACGATTATGGATCGGCAAATGAGACAGATTATGACTCGGAGGAGAAAAACCAATCGAATGCCACCGGCTTGTTCGAATTGCAACGCTTGCCAATGAAAGTAGCTATAACGGGGTATTACAATATGATCAGTACCAAGAAGCTCGGTGAATTGTTGAGAACACTGTTCGACTATTCGGCTATGTCAGGGCCTGTGATGAGTGCATGAATGCACAGTGCGGGAGAGTGCAGTCCCTGGCATTGCTACAGCCAGCCGGAAATTACGTGATTGAAGCACAGATTGTTACATACGTATTTCTTGTGCTGTTTTGTGTTTTGCTTATTTTTTGTAACAGATATTTCTCAGTGCAAATGATTTTTGACGATAAATTGTACTGAATTATATGTGCCAGCGCATGCAACAGTGCTCCCTGAAGTTTTTTTTATTAAAGTTCTCGTAAAATGTCAAGCCTAAAAAGCTACCCAGCACAGATGGTCAGTCATACCCCAGGCATACACGAACGATGATTTTAAAAACGGAGCATCGCACATGATGTGGGAACACTCTCCAAAAACTTCACCTCTCTCCCCTAGTTTTACCGATAGCTGAGTTGAAAGTGGGTGACAGAAGTGCGATACATACATGCACATGTAGACACACATACACACACCGACAATCTTTTATCAAAATGAGCTTTTGCATCTGTATAAATGTGCAAGACGTATAAAAATAATGGCGTGCACCGGCTAGCCGGTGTGATCGTTTTTGCGTAATTTTGTCCAGCAGAGGTTAGCTGTTTAGGATTTTCTCTCTGCTTTACAGTACGGTGCATGTAAAAGTCACTGAAATACTGTCTGCTTCTCGAGTTACAAAATTTCGCTTGTCCGAAAGTGAAACGTAAGCCTACGACACTCAGGAAATAGCAAGTGTCAACAACTACTCCCCGCAAATAAGGCTATCAATGGTTCCTATTTTAAGAGAAAAACTGACGCTGTTATGATTCCCTGGCGTGCGCAAGTACTAATTTACCACCGAAAATGATGGGGAAAAAACTAGGTTTTTTCATTTTATGCTAGTCATTACTTTATGGTGCCCAACCTCCAAGTCAGTAAGATAATTCATCATGGTCTAGGGATTGCAACATTCGAAACAAGATGATGAAACTAGGTCCAGTTCAGGGACATCTTGAAACAATTTAAACGCTACCAAGTGCTTTTGTCGGGAGAATAGCTGGGCTGGGAATTCCCTCAGGAGACGAAACGAACGTAAAAATCGTCAGCAAGCTGACTGCCAAACGATGCACAATTGGTCAAAGGAACTGGAGAACTTGCCCTATTTTCTAACTTTTTTCCTAAATTCAACTTGGGATCAGTTCTGTGGTCACAAGTTAAGATATGATTTAAAAAAAACCTTTTCATACATAAATACAAGCAAAATTGTCACCAAAAATTATCGCAATTTCCGCAAAAAAAAGCAAAAGCAACTAAAACAGGAAAAATTTTTCATACTATCCATATGAGAAGTGGGGACAAAACAAAGAGCTTCAAGTAAAATGTAACGAAAACAACTATTTCAGTCAGATACAGCTCGGCTGTTCCTCGTTATCCAGTTCGGGCATCACCTGACCCTCATAGTCCAGGATCGTGCACTCAGCAAATAATAAATATACGGTTAAAATAATTCGCAGGGAAAACGGAAGTTCTTCGGTGCTGTCAAAACTTGAACAAAGAAAGTGTACAGGCCTTTTGCTGTAACGTTTCATGCAAACCACACCCTTGGATTACTAGAAAGAGCGCAACAAAAGCATTAGAAAAGAGACGAGCCTTCAAAAATTTCACCCGACAATTGCGTGCTTTTTTAAAAAATTGCTATAGAAAGTACATTTTCAAAACCTGTTTCCATATCCCATACACCATTTTCGCGCAAAATTTGTGTAAAATTTCCCATTCGAAAAGCTGTTTTCCTTTTTGAAGGCTCACAATTTGAAATATTTGTTTAACTAATGAGCTGCCACGCCTTATAGTGCGACTGTCAGACTTAAATTCAATTCTGGTAACATTCTACTCTTGTCTTTTGTCACATATAATGATGATCAGAGAAAATGCAACCTCTCAAGCAAAACTCCATAATGCCTGCTGCGGTAAATAACCCTGGCCCTTCCGAAGCCGCGAAAAGTAAAAAATTTAGTCTAAACAACAATTTCTATGTGAAATTGGTCGGATATAAATACACACATATATGCGCGCACACACACCCACCCACACACACACACACGCACACACACACACACATATCTATTACCTCTTGCCAATATGTGTTTTGCATTTGCATAAATATGAAAAAAAAAAAACGCATAAAACTGAACAGAATATAAAAAGGCATTCGAAACGTGAACAGTGCTATTTGTCGATCTCAAGCTGTTCTTAGCGGTTCAA